CTAAAAAGCATACTGAAAGACACATTGGATGGAGATAAAAATGACTACAATTTCCAGAACAACAACAGAAAGAAACCATCAGACAGGGAAAATAATTAAACAAGGGTTAAAGTAGGAAACCACCAACAAGAAAATAACATGACAAAATTGAGCTAGTATGTATCACTTATGTCCATAAATGTAAGTGGCCTCAATTCACCAATTAAAATAAATAGGTGACAGAATGGATCAAGAAACAGGATTCCACATTGCTGTACACTGGAAACACATCTGACTCAAAAGTAAACTCACAGATTAAAAGTCAAAGGATGGAAAATAATATTGCATGGAACAGAAACCCAGAAAAAAGCAGGGGTAGATATTCTGTTTGCAAACAATGGAAATTTCAAACCTAAAAGGATTAAAAGAGATAAAAATAATCACTACATACTTGTTAGTAGGAAAATTTCAAGAGAAAGAAATAACAGTGATAAATATATATGCACCAAATACAGGAGCACTCAACTACATAAAAAATAATAATAGATATGAAAAATCAAATACACAAGAACACAATTGTAATAGGGGACCTCAGTACCCCACTGTCACAAAAAGATAGATCAGCTAGACAAAAAGTCAGCAAAGAAATAACATAATTGAATCAACTCTGTGGCAAAAGGATTTAGTAGATGTTTACAGAGTGTTCCACCCAATCACATCAGAAAACACATTCTTCTCAGATGCACATGGGATATTCTGCAAAATAAATAATATATTAGCCCATTTTTTTCATAAATGCAAAGGGACTAAAATTATCTCATACATATTATGTGACCATAGTGCACTGAAATTGGAAATTAATAGCAAAAGAAACTGTAAAACCTACATAAACACATGCAAATTATATAATAGCCTCTTGAATAACCAATGGGTTACAGGTTAAATTAAAGAAGAAATTAAATAATACCTATAAACCAATGAAAATGCAGATAAAACACATTGAAACCTGTTGGACACAATGAAATCAGACCCGAGAGGGAAACATATAGCAGTGAATTGTCACATCAGGAAACAGAATGAGCACAAATAAATGATCTATTGTTACATCTCAATCATGTAGAAAAAAAGAGCAGGTCAAGCCCAAAGCTCATAGAAGAGAGGAAATTATAAAGACCAGAGCAGAAATTTATATAAATGAGACTAACAAAGCAAATAAAAGAGCTAGTTTTGTTGTTGTTGTTGTTGTTGTTGTTGTTGTTGTTGTTTCTTTTTTGGTCTTTTTCCTTTTTATTGGTACCAGGGATCGAACTCACGACTCCCTGCTTGCAAGGCAGGCACTTATACCGCTGAGCTAAATCGCCAGCCCCAAAGAGCTAGTTTTTTGACAGAAAAAATAAAATTGATAAGCATCTAGTCAACCTTGTAAATAAAAAGAAAGAAAAACTCAAATTCATGCAATAAGGAATCAAGACAGAGAAATTATTACACATCCCATGGAAATTCAAAAGATTATGAATACCTACTTTGAAAATCTTTACTCAGGTAAGGTGTAAAACAAGAAGGAAATGGGCAGATTTCTAGAAATGCACAAATTACCAAAATTGAATCAAGAAGACATAACAATCATGATTAACCCAATTTCAGCTACTGAAATTGAAAGTGTGATTAAAAACTTATCAACAAAGAAAAGCCCAAGCTCTGATGGATTTACAGCTGAATGCTGTAAGAAATTTAGAGAAGATTTAATATCAATACTCCTCAAATTCTTAATGAAACTGAAAGAGAAGGAATTTTTCCTAACTCATTCCCCGGAGGCAAGTATTACTCTGATACCAAAAAAAGAGAAAGACCCAACCAAAAAAGGGAATTATAGGCCAGTCTCACTAATGAACATTGATGTAAACATTCTCAATAAAATACTGGCCAACAGAATGCAGAAAATCATAAAAAAGATTATACATCTTGACCAAATAGGGTTTATCACAGAAAGCAGGGATTGTTTAACATATACAAATCAATAAATATAATACACCACCTCAACAGAGTCAAAGACAAAAATCATGAGATTATCTCTATAGATGCATAAAAAGCTTTTGATAAAGACAACACTTCATGATAAAAACCCTACAGAAACATGGATAGATGGTATCTACCTCATTTGATAAAAGCCATCTATGACAAACCAACAGCCAACATTATACTAAATACACAAAAACCTGAGAGCTTTCACTCTAAAGTCAGGAACAATAAAAGGATATACACTATCACCACTCCTATTCAATATATCTCTGGAATCATTATCCATATCAATTAGACAAGAGAGAGATATAAAAGGAATAAAGATAGGAAAGGGAGAATCAAACTCACTATTTGCAGATGGCATGATATTCTACATAGATGATCCCAAAACTCTATCAAAGGGCTACTAGAGTTAATCAGCAAATTCAACTTTATTTGAATTTCACTTACATGTTATCCTTCCCTAGAACCCTATTAATGATCATTTCTTTTGTCTGTCTCCCACATTTTTCTGATTTGCTGACTTTTTTTTTCAGTGAAATGAGTGAATGTATCTTATTTTTGTTAGGCTAAAGTTTATTTGCTGTAGTTTTTATACATCCTCATATAGACTATCAACTCATTTGCTTCAATTCTTATGCTTTGAGTGCTTCTTTTTACTAAGTAGCTTTCAAAATATGCCTTGCAATATATAAATGCAACTACAAATTTAAAAATCTACTAGCCACATGTATTTTTGTTCTTATTTATTGTATTTAGTTAAACTCATTATTCTGCACTTATTATCTTGATAATTTCTCCTATATTGCTATTTGTATTAGATTCTTCCCATTTGTTAGGACAAAATTCTTGGCTCTTACAACATAAAGAGGAGAGGTTCATTTGGTTAATGATCTGCAGTTGGTTCAGTACATAGTTATCTGACTCCAAAGCTCAAATCCTATGGTGCAAGGACTCAGAGAGGAAAGTTGTAGTACACCTCATGCAGCGAGGAAGCAAAAAAGATAATGGAGGGACCAGACCCAAGTATCTGTCTCTTTGCACACCGACAATCCTCAAACCAGGCTCCATCTTCTAAAACTACATTTAGCTTCTTAGCTCTTCAGTGTAGGAAACCACTAATGAGTATGGCACCCATATGATCTAATTACTTTCCAAGCACATGAGACTTTGTGGGGACTTTTTAGATCTAAACCACATCAATCATTTTAGATCTAAACACTATTAAAACAGTTCATTATGCTCTAGTCTCATCATTATTACTGTATGAAATCTAAATGTTCAAGAAGTTGCAATAGTGAAGCAATTGTGCTATGGTACTCAGTACTAGACAACACGACACAGAGTGACATAAATACTGAATTAGAGATTTTCCATGTATTAAGCAAAGAGAATGAAGATGCTAAATAAAGCATTTGATAACTTCCTTTTGGGATAACACACTTAGAAAAAGGTTTAATTTCTCCGGGAGTCTAGAAAAGAGTGAAAAATGATTTATCTCACCTTGGTCAGTTCAATGTCACAGGCAGGAGGAAGAGACTATTAATTTTTCCATTATGTAGTTCTTCTTGATCGACTTGTTTTATACCCCTGAGCTAAACCCCTGGCTGATTGACTTGTTTTAATGAGCAGAGGCACATCTTCCCACATAAACATTCTCTCCAAAGTACCTGAGCATGCCACCTAGACAGAACTGTGGTTTTTCTAAAGCTTTCCCTTAGTGTTTCAATAAAACTACTTTGGGAAGTGTTGAAGGCTACAGAAATATCAGTTCCAAACAGTAGGGAACTTTACAGTCCACATATGAATGGAAATGAATGAAGCATTCTATTCTCTTTCCCCAGCACAAATCAAAGCTGCATTAGTTCAGGAATAAGAAAACAAACAAACAAACAACAACAACAACAACAAAAAATGTAGGTCCAGTTATCAGTTATGCCTAAATTAATTTTTTTTAAAATAAGAATTTGCTGAGATTCCTCACCTAGACTTGATTTACATAGCCCTGGGTACAATGAAGGTTTTCATTTGATTTTCTCTTTAACTTTTTACTAAGTTTCTAGATATTCCAGACTCTTTCTCCTACGGATCACTATTTAGATGCCTTGTTTATTTGAGCACTCACACCGTGCTCTTATGTGTATCCCCTTATAAATCTTTCTCATGTCTTTAAAAAACAACTATCTAGGCTTTCTTCAGAGCATCTCACGTGTTAAAGTAGAATTAAAGCTAAAATCATATCCAGTCCCACATCTGTAATTCACAAAAAGGACATTCACAAAAGTTTCTATCATTATTTTACTTAACAAGTCTGTGATTCCTTATCCATTTCCTTGAAATCTATCAAAATGTTTTTTTCCCCCCCAGGTAGATGAGTGTATTTATTCAGACATTTACCAAGTTTGCACACATGCCATCACTCCAATGCAATAAAAACAGCCCTTGACATTTTAGAAAGAGTTCTGAGATACCAGGTCACTCGTGTATCCCAAGCAATTCCTAGGACAGAGGTAGAGCATGTGTTCTTATTTTATAGTGGTTGAGGACCAAAGGCCCAATCAGGCTTACTAGAACCAATCGACAACGAAAGCATCCCACAGGGAATGCACAGAAAGCCAAATGCCATACGGAAATCTCTAAGATTTAGAAGAATCACATATCCATTCCAACACCTTTTCAGGTTGGACCACCCAATAAGTTACACACACACTCAGCACTCAAAGGTCCCTGTGTAGCGCATGAGCCAGCCGAGTCCTGGGGAAGCGGTCACTTTCTGGACCATCAGACTGCGAGTTCTCACCCAAGGATACTCTGCCCACATGGGCTGTGCATATGGCTGCAGGTGAGCCTGGCCTCTGGAGGACACGGCTGGTCAGTGCAGCATGATTCTGGAGGCATTTCACAGTGTCATGTTCACTACAGGGGAGCTCTGCATGGGGAGGCCGAGGCACTGCGCACTTTGGGCTCAGGCGTGGAGGGGTGACATTTCCTGAGCGCCGGGAACCAAGCAGACCATCAACAGTCAAATATGTCTGGGAGCACATTCCCGAAGATTCCACAGCAGCCCCGGCCCCAGGATTTCTCCTGTGTGACTAAGATGATTTGCTAGTTGGTTCTTTGCTTTTCTGGCAACTTGATGGCTTGCTTGAATTTGTTGTGACCCAGGGGTGTTCGAGGACTTCACTAAGAGTCGGCCTCTGGCTTGGATTCTGCTTTAACAGCCTTGAAATGAAGTCCCGGGCTCCCTCTGTCACAAAGTCAGGGAACGTGAATTCGACCTGTGAGATCCTTTTGTAGGTCTCCTGATGCGTGTGCGCCTCAAAAGGTGGCTTCCCGACCAGAAACTTGTAGCAGAGGACGCCCAGGCTCCAGAGATCCACCTTCTCATCATGCTTCCGGCCTTCGATCATCTCGGGGGGTTGGTAGTCCAGGGTGCCGCACAGACTGGTCCTCCTGGAGGACGGAGCGTGCGCTGACCACCCGAAATCTGCGATCTTCAGCTCTCCAGCTGACCCCAGCAGCAGGTTCTCTGGTTTAATATCCCTTTGAATAACTCTCTTGGAATGACAGTTAGACACGACGTTTGCCAATTCCGTGATATAAGTAGCAGCTCTCTGCTCATCAAACTTGGAGAGTTTCTGAAGTTCTCTATAGACTGTTCCAAGCGGGGCATACTCCAGAATTCGGTAAACTCTCGGTGGCAGGCGTCGTGGAAGTAACCGTACAGCCTGAGGATGTTGGGATGCGGAGGTGGGACTGTATCTCCACTTCTCTCCTGAGCTGGTGCTCCACGCCTGCTTTCTCCAGCTGGGCTTTAAATAACACCTTCAGAGCCAGGATAAACTTGCTTTGTTTTTCTCTGGCCAAATAAACATTGCCAAACTTTCCTTTACCTAACGGGCGGCCAATATCAAAATCTTCCAAAGTCCACCATCTCCTTTTCAAGTCTTCAGTTTTTGGTTTTGATTCCACTTCCTTCCCAGGGTTCCCTCCGGATGCTGCCAGCTGGGACTGCTCGCGCTTCTGGGTGCTGTTCCCTGGCCGGGGGACAGGGTGCGCCCTGCCGGTGGCCTGCAGTTGCTTCTGTACCACCTTCTGGCTACAGACAAGCTTCTGCGCTTGCGTAGGAACCCGCTGGGAGGAATTTGAAGGACACAAGACCAGCTGAGCCTGGCCGCCTGATGATGGGTTCTGAGAGGGAAGCTGCTGCGTCACCAGGACACGTTTCGGACCGTTCCCAAGAGGACCCATGGCCTTTATAGACCCTGAAACGAGGTTTTCTTTAGCTCTGTCCATGACACCTATTAACCCGCCGACCCTGCTGCCTCCACGCCAAGGTTCGCTGAGTCCTTGCAAAAGCTCCAAAATCTATCAAAATGTTAAAACTGAAGCTTTTGATACAACAACCTGACTTAAAAGTTTGTCCAAATCTGACATAAACGGATAGGAATATACAATTTTTCTTTACACTACATAGTAATATATTTACATGTTTACTGAAGAAATATATATCAATATAATTACCACAGACCTGTGAAGACAATATCTTTACTTAATATCAAGAATATGATGATCTAATTTTCAAAATTCTAGAAAAATATTTTGTAATAGATTTGGCCCAAGAATTTCAGATAATTGACCATAGACCTCTGTAAGTAAGACTAAATGTATTGAAGCTCCTAAAAAAATAAAATGTTTTAAGCTAGAAGTTGGTTTTTAAACTAGATGCAAGTTGGATTACTCATCTCTTGTTTATTGTGTGTAGATAAAATAAATATCTACCAAACAATTTTTATTTAAAATCTGAGGAAATAGGACAAGTACAGATGGATATTCTCTAAATTTGAAAATATCAGAGTAAGTTATCAGTAGAGCCTAGAGTTTTCACCTGTGAACCAAATTAATTGCTATTCTTGTCACCACTGGACAATAGGAAGTCAATCTTCATTTACATATAAATTCTGATTTATGTTCCTCTATCCCTTCTCAATTTATTTTCCTTACAATATTTTCATTGCCTTAATTTGTTTTCCAAGGACAAATGGGAAGATGACTGACACACAGGCCATCAAATTAAGAGGTGAACTTTCAACCTAGATATGGGCTGCATCAACCAGTAGGCTTGTAGCCTCAACAAAATAAAGAGAAAAAGGAAATGTGGTCATTTGGTGAGACCCACTCTTTGCCATTGTCTCTGGATGTTGGTTCTCATATTCTTTGGCTTTCTTTCTTTTTCTTTTCTTCGTTTTTTAAACTTCAGCTTTGTAATGCAGATTTATTCTGGTGATTCTATGGTGACCTTCCAAGCCTTTGACTCTATCCTGGTGCTGCATCCTTATTCATTTTTGTTCTCTAGCTTCTGACTTCTTGGACTGAGCAACAACTGGATCCTACAACTTAACCAATCCTATAAACTTAACAGAACCCCATGTGGTTGTGTGTGTGTGTGTGTGTGTGTGTGTGTGTGTGTACAAAATTAATATTGATTCCGTTCCTCCAGTGAATCCTGATACAATAAATGTTGGTTATTTTAAACCTAAAGGAGGAAAAAGAAGTTATCCCATTAGCTGTCATTTATTAATTTAAGAATTTGGATGAACATCATTTGAAATAAAGGAGGACTTTTGTGTATTTCAGCTTCCTCATCTAACAAACACAAAGATATCTAGATGACTTGATGGGACATGTTGGTGTTTACTGAGTACGTATCCTGAAATCAAGATCATTCAATGATCAGGCATTCTAATTATAAGGAAGTTCTAATGTAGGTGGGAAGAATTTAGGGACTTCTAGGTAAATACCTGAAAATTATATTTATTCGAGAGTTTTCACTTGAGAAGAGTTAATGAAAAAACATCTTCAATCATCTTCACACAAATTTCTTGTTTGCATGGTGTCAATCTTCAATCCAATGAATATTGTGACATCTATCTCCATGTCTTTTTTTCCTCTGTCTACGTCTCTTATTAAAATATTCTTAAAAGACAGAAAGGTTGATGGCATTTATGGACCTTCCTAAGGTGGACCAGTACTAGCATGTTACAAATAAAAGACAGGGAAATCAAGAAATCTTAAGATTTCAAGAAAATAAAGTGAGAGAATTTATGTTCAGGTATGTCCTAGAAATCACCCCGCATTATCCTTTAAATAGCATGTACAACCTCTACTTGTAGATGTCTCCAAGGAACAGGGTACAGTTATACTAGCCTGAGTCTTTTACATCCAAAACTTGAACCTGTCTTTTAACGTGGGTATCTGTGAATGTTAGGTGTAGAAAATGTCATGGAAATTGTACAAGAGAAAGCAGGAATGTTTCTCCTTGTAGACTTTGTACCAGAATCGGCTCGGCAATTTTCCAGGGTCAAACATAGCTGAGTCCTATGGGACTGAAAACATTGGACCCAAGAGACTTTTAAGGAGGTATACATACATATAAATCTAATATACATAGATTTGCTACATGGATTTTGGGCATCGTCTTGATTTTATTTCTTCTCCTTTAAATCTGATAAATATCTTCAGAATTCTAGACAATACAGGTAAGTCTAACATATTATGTTCATTGCAGACATAGAAACTGGTAGGAGAAAAGTAAAAAAAAAAAACAAAACTGCAGAAACTGCTCTTTCATGTAATAACTTAATCATCTGTCATGTTCCTTAATTTTAACACATGGCATACCACATTAACTTTAGGTACAGTCGATTTGTATGTGATATTTTTAAATGTTGTTTTATTAAATGTGTCACCCAAGGAAAAAGTTCATTATTTCCTTTTTAGATATATATCTGTGAAGTTAAATTAAACTAAAAGTTAAAAACAAAGATTAATGTTTAAATACATTTCATAGTTAAAGATTGTTGTACATACACAGTATATATATATGCATCTATTTCCTAAGCTGTCTGAAAAAATTCTACATGTCAAATATTTAGCTAGGCACAGATCAAAAGAATGAAGCTAATTTTATTGCCTGTGCAAAATACTTTTCTCTGGTGATGAGGCAAAGATAACACTCCATTTCAAACTCCACATGCTCATCATTGTGCTAAATGTCTGCACTTTAAATAAATAAAGACAAATTTGGAGTAAGGATTACCAATTTATATTATGTGTATAGTATAAGAAGATACATTTTGGTCCTATGAACAACCTAAACAAGTTTATTTTCAATTTAATAAATTGTAAGCCTGACATCCAGTGTTAAATTTGTTTAAAATAAGAAATATTTTGATTTTAATGAGGTTATGTTGCTAGTACTATACAGCATTTGTTGCTGGGATAAAGTGGTGTGTGAGTTATGTAGCTACCATTTTAAAATAGGAACTTCAGAATTAAAATTGTGTTACTATTTAGGGATTTTGTAGGTAAACGACTGAAGTTCAAATAAATTAAATTCCTTGGATCATGAAGCTAGAATATGACATAACAAGTGCTTAATTCCAATTATACAGGACTACATAGTTCATTGCTCTTTCTATTACCCTGTCCTACATCTAAACATTCAAAATTAAGTCATACTGGGCCATCAGTACCACCATAGAATTCTAATAAAATGGGTATGAGCCTATAATTTGAGCAATAATATTGGTATTATTACACTGAAAACAAAGCAAAATAAAGGACTGTGTCCTAAAAGAACTTTAGCAGAGTTAAAAGAAAATATGTAGAATTTTATTCTCTTTCTTCTCATCTTTATTTCTGCTTCTTTCTTTCAAATACACCAGTGCACTCTGTCTCTGATGTCCTTTAGAGGTCACACTTTGTGTGTCCTTCTCCTCATGAGTACTCATCATTATAACATGCTGAGTGATGAATACTGTGGCTTGGATCTGTGGAAAGCACACTTCACAATTAATTTTATCTTTCTCTTTCTCTTTCTAAAACCTAAAAAATCTTCTTTCAATTGAACAATAAAAAGTAAATATTAAAATATAAGCAATTGGTTTCTCCAAACTAAATCATACATGTACACCTTAATTTGTTACTGCAATATTTTTGGAACTTTAAAATAAAGCTGATTGGTTGATCATGTAGGCATTGTATATTTAACTGTAATTTTGAAAAATAGGATCCAAATATTGCAAAGACAGCTCAGAGAGTTAACACTTACTGAAAATAAAAAGTCATAAAACTATACTGCATGTATCTAGTACACAGAATTGCACTGAAATAAAGATATAAAGAGCTAATCTTTTCTTAAGAGTGTTTAGCATAGCAGAAATAAGAACTTCTGCTATTTTGTCTGACAGAGGGAATGTTGGAGGGCAGGAGCTATCTATCAACCACAAATCTTACCTTTATTAATTTTATTTTTATGCATTTTGTTTATTACCAAATTTTCAATCAGTGATCCAAGTGGAGAACAGAATAATTTTTCTTCGTCATATACTTGGCAAACATGATTTAAGATCTTAGCTCAGTTTAGCATTGCCAGAGTTTAGTTTTAAATGTCCGATATGATTTTGAGAATCTGATTTATTGGCACACAGGGATTACTTTAATCATCTACGTGTGATCTGTAGTTAGTATGCAGTTTAAAATCAAATTAATGGCCCATTAATACGAAGGTAAACATATGATTAAAACTGATTTTTTAAAAACTTAATCCTTCCATAAGGATAAAAACTGTTTTCATATCTAGTTTCTTCATGGATATGACCAATAACAACTCAGTGTATATGATCAATAACAACTCAGTGTATTTTGTATCAAGCTTTATTTTTACAGGCAGTAGTAGCTTGTAATTCAGATCAAAGCTTTTAGATTTATCCTACCTGCTTTTGGATCTAGAATGAGAGACTCTTTGTCTGTAGGACCTTCTTTTTTTGTCTGTCAAAAGAACATTATTATTCATGTTAGGCTTATTGTGGAAGCCTTTTCAACAGGCTACTTTAAAAATAGAGTGTGTTCACATATGTGAAATATTATTATTTATAATAAGATATTATTAAATGATAAGTAGTTTTCAACAGGCAAGCATTACTTATTTTATAGAAGTAAAGTTGTAAGCTAATTAATTCATGTCACTATCATTTCATGCAGATGAAAATATTGCGAAAACATGACCAGATCGAATTCAGCTCAAAGAGTCACTCCTAAATCCTCAACCTTATAATTTTCCATTAAAAACACAGGGCCTGTACTCAGTGGCACAGATGGCTTCCTCTTTCCTGAACAAAACCAGTGCCCAGGACATGTGGTATGTTCTGATTGGAATCCCGGGACTGGAAGCCTTGCACACCTGGATCTCCATCCCTATCTGTTTCATGTACATTGTGGCTGTCACAGGCAACATCTTCCTGGTCTTCCTGATTATGACTGAGCGCAGTCTCCATGAGCCTATGTATCTCTTTCTCTCCATGCTGGCCCTAGCAGATCTCCTGCTTTCCACAGCCACAGTCCCCAAGATGCTGGCCATCTTCTGGTTCCATTCTTCAGACATATCATTTTGTGGCTGTGTGTCACAGATGTTCTTCATACATTTCATCTTTGTGGCTGAATCTGCTATTCTCTTGGCCATGGCATTTGACCGCTATGTGGCCATTTGTTACCCACTGAAATACACCACAATCCTTACCTCCACGGTCATTGGGAAGATTGGCATAGCAGCTCTGGTCCGGAGTTTACTCATTTGCTGTCCATTCATCTTCTTGATAAATCGACTCTTATATTGTGGGAGAAAAATCCTTCCCCACTCCTACTGTGAACACATGGGCATCGCCAGGTTGGCTTGTGACAATATCAATATCAACATCATTTATGGCCTGACAATGGCTCTATTGTCCACAGGGCTGGATGTAGTACTGATTGTTATGTCTTACATGATGATTCTTCACACAGTGTTTCAGATACCTTCCTGGACGGCCAGACTTAAGGCTCTTAACACATGTGCTTCCCACATCTGTGTCATCCTTATTTTCTATACACCAGCCTTCTTTTCATTTTTTGCCCACCGCTTTGGAGGTGAAACCATCCCCCGTCACATCCATATCTTAGTGGCAAACCTGTACGTGGTAGTCCCCCCTATGCTTAACCCCATCATTTATGGTGTGAAGACTAAGCAGATTCAAAATCGAGTGGTTTTGATTTTCTCCTCTGTGATTACAAGTTGTTAACATTATGTCTAAGGTGAAATGGTAATTCTGAATAAAAATCTCCCTTTAAAAGCCTGTTTCAGTGTACAATAGGAATAAATAAAATATATAGATATTTTAAACACACTTAAAAGGATAGTACTTGAAAGTCTCCACTTTACTCATCTAGTGTGGTCAATGATTTGAAAGAAAATACTCTGAATATTTTTAATACTTCTAGTCAGCTTATTTTCATACATTTTAACTTAACTTAGGAAGAAAATACAAACATTTTAGGGCTAATGCAAATTTACTTCCTGATGAACAGCATTGTACATTTTGTAGTCATTCAGTATTTCTGCCCCAGATCTCCCCTACTTCAATCAAAAAAGATACAGATGAATAACATGAAATCACCATATTATACATAATTTTGTGAGCACCTGATTAACCTAGTGCCTGTAAATCATATTCTCAGATTCACTGTTATTTCATAAGGTCTATTTATGACATCAAATATTAAGCCTAACCATCTAAGAAATTGATGGTCATTCTATAAAACTAAACATGAAATTAATCTACATGAGACCATCAGTATAATTTAAAAGATTTTTGCTGATTTTTTTTCTTTAAAATTTCATTCAAAGGAAAAAAAAAAGATAAAGCAGAATAAGGGTACAAGTAATACAGAATTTCAAAAAAAAATAGTAAGAAATCACTAGTTAATAGATTACATATTGTCATCTTAGAAATAGTATTCAAGTTACAGGATTAAAGCATACAAAATGGACATTCAAACAGTGAGACTCCAAACAGTTGTGTTCAATAATCCAATAAAAACTGAGTAATATGGTCATCTATCTTACACACCTACACACACTTGCCATTGTATCCTTTACAGCACTTTCTTTTCCTCTGTTTTTTACAATAACATTTACGCATTTTGGGTTTTATTACTCCTAAAGTTCTTATTACTTTTTAGATTTTCCCTGATTTTCCACATGGTGAAAACTAAAACTAGACACATGTCTACCACCATCAACTAAAATAAGGTCAAAATGGATCAAATGTTTAACAATTAAACCAGAAATATTAAATATACTGGAAGACAAAGCAGATAGAAATCTTGAAGATATAGGGGTAGACAGAGTTCATGAACAAAACACACTCCACAGGAAGTACTTCAAGAAAACAACTGGGATCTCATTTTATAAAAAAAGTTTTTCACATAAAAAAGTAAATTACCTACAGAGGAAAAAGAAAACAGAGTCAAAAAAATTTATCCAAGTGTCTCTCTGTCAAAGGACTTTGATCTAGAATATATAAAGAACTGAAATACCTCAAATTCCCCTATATTCAAAGACCCAATCCAAAAATGAGCATCTGAGACAAATATACACTTCTCAGATGAAGAAATAATAAATGGCAAACAAATATATGAAAAAATGTTGGACACCATTGATCATTTGAGAAATACAAATTAAAACCACACTGAGATTTCATCTCACTCCAGAAAGAATGGCCAGGATAAAGAAAACTACCCAAGAATAAATGCTAAGGTACTACTGCATTTGATTAAGCGTGATTAGCACTTCATATAATTGAGAAAGTCAGAAGCTGTCATCAGAATCTGAGACTCGAAGGTTCTGATGGCATATAGGCTGGGTGAGGAAACAGCAGCTTGCTGTCACTCCCTTATGGTCTGTGTTCTGCATACCCTAGCCGTGATAAAATTCTGTGACACAATGCATAGCATATCAAAAGAGGATTCAATTATTATTTTTACATGTGCTTCTGTGTTAATATTCAACAAATCATTGTCTACAAAATTAGGAATACTTTTTCCTTTATTTTCTTCCAAGGATTTTATAGTTTCAGAAATTTTAGAATCCATATGGAGCAAGTTTTTGTACATGTGTTAAGAACTTGATTTCATTTTCTATATACTTTGCGCATTACCACTTATTAAATAATTTATGTCTTTTTTTTTGTATGTTCTTGGCACTGTAGTTAAAAATCAGTTAACTAACTAAAAGTGTAGGGCTTTATTTCTGAATTTCTCTCCTGTCACTTGATCGTTTATACTGGTACCATTCAGTTTTGATTGCAATCTCTATAAGATATGTTTTCAAACCAGATAGTGTGATGTGTCCAGCTTTTTCCTTTCATCGAAGATTGCTGTGGTAAACTTGTGTTTCTATATATATTTTAATTTTTTCCATTTCTGTTAAAAAGAACCCAAGCAGTTGATAGAAATTGTACTGACTGTAGGGAACACTATGGAAATTATGGGCTTTTTTACAATATTTATTTTTCCAGTACATTAAAATGAAATAAATTTCCAATTATGTGTAATTTTTTAGTTTTTATATCAGTGTTTTACAGTTCTTAATATATACAGGGCACTTATTTTGTTGGTTAAATTTACTTCTAAGTGTTTATTATTTTGTTGCAACTCTAAAAATAATTATTTACCTAATTTACTCTCTGGATAAGTTCATTATTAATATTACAAATTACATCGTTTTTTGCATATTGATTTTACTTCTTATAAACTTACTGAATTTATTTATAAATTGTAAGAGTTTGTTTCGCTGGAGTCTTCAAGATTTTCTACATTAAAGATCGTGTTATCATCAAATGGAAATAGTCTTATATCTCTTTCTTATTAAGGTGTCTTTTTTATTCTATTGTCTAACATGTCTGGCTAGAACTTTCAATACTAAATTAAAAAGAAGTGGTGAGAGTGAATGTCCTTCTCTTGCTCCTGATCATAAAGAAAAAGCATTCAGTTTAGGTTTGAATGACAAGCTGAAGCACCAATCTCTTACATACTACTGATAGACAACTTCCAATCTGTACAAGGAATAGGAGATGATAAACAAAAACTTTTAAAAAACTGTTTGATAATGGTTATAAATGTTTGCAAAATGTAGAATACATATGTTTTGCAATTATTATTATTATTATTATTATATGGTACTGGGGATCAAACTCATGATCTTGCACTTACCAAGCCAGGGCTTGAAACATTTTGTAATTATTTTATACCACTCACTCACGAAATGTTTGACTTCTAATAGTGTCTATGAAAGATTGAACATATTATGAGTTTGATGATGTACGTCTTTTTAACATTTTTGATTTTAAGAAGTTATACCAAACACAAAGTTGCAAAATTTTTTTTCTAACAATTTTAGATCTTTCATTTTGATTTATTAATGATTTCAAGTTATGTAGGATGGTTAAAGACATGTTGATAACTTTTTTCTACATATATGTATTTACTTAAATACATGTCCTTGTGTATGTGTTTTTGTTTGTGTGTGTATGTGACACACACACACACATACACACACAGAGAGAGAGTGAGAGAGAGAGAGAGAGAGAGAGAGAGAGAGAGAGATTTTCCAACTCTCTTTCTAGAAAAAAAAAACATTTTGCTATTGAATTTATCTCTGTGGTCTTTAGTTTTGGAAATTGGTTTATCTTTTTTAAATTTTTATTTAAAAGGAAAAAGAGGAAAAAATAAAACAAAACAAAGCAGTGTAAGGGTACAATTAATACAGAACTACAAAAAAAAAAAAAAAAAAAAAAAAAAAACAGTAAGAAATCACCAGTTAATAGATTACAATTATCATCCTAGAGACAGTTGCTGAAATCACAGTATCAAAGCATACAAAGTGGACATTCAAACAGTGAGAATGCAAACAGTTGTTTTCAATGATCCAACCAAAAACATTAATATGGGCATCCATTTAACACCCCTAAACACACTTGCAGATGTGTAAATTTTGTTGTAAAAAAGAGAGGAAAATTGGTTTATCTTTTAAGTAGGTATTTATTTCTTAACTGTATAACTCATATGACTTTCAGTTATTGTGTCAATTCAATGTAAATTAGTCTCTTATTTGAGATTCCAAGTAAGATAGTCCATATGCTATTTGCTATCATTCCTTTACAATGATATGATTAGGAACCTGCAGAGTATAAACTGGAAAACTAACTGTGATAAGAAATGTGGAGATAAGCAGCATGACTAGTAAAATATTAATGTCACCATCCATACAATTTAATAAATTTAATATGCTATAAAGAACACTATGGCATCCTGGTGCAGGCCCTTTTTTGGTAAGAATGGTTTATTTCCCCAGGTGCAGGGAGTGATGTCAGAAGATGGTCCTCACCTATAGGCTGTTTTTCGGTAGTACAAGGCTGAATTCACTGTCATCACTCATGAGCAAGGCGACTATAATCCAATCCAATGAATAATGGAAAAAAACTAGAATAGCCACTAATGTCAATAAAACACATGCTGTTCTTAGCGGCTCAAACTAGTGTAATGGTGGAAAAATTTCATACACAATGCAGAAACAGAAAAATAAACTATAAGTATAGAAAAACACTTGGGTATTATTAAATTTGAGTGCTAGTGTACAAAAGCATAGTGGAGCCAGGTGTGGTGGCACACTCCTGTAATCCCAGCACTCAGGAGGCTGAGGCAGGAGGATGACTGTGAGTTCAAAATCAGCCTGGATCACCATGAGTTAGAAGCCAGTCTGGGCTACAAAAGAGCTGAAGGCCAGACTGTACTACATAGTGAGATTCTGTCTCAAAACTAACAAACAAACAAAAAACTTGTGAAAAGCTGAAAGCAGTTAGTTGTTAGTTAAAAATCCTTAAAGATAGCAAATATGCTCAATAGTTGCAGGGGCTGATTGGAGGGTTAAACAAATAAATTGAACACAAAGGAACTTAGGTCACTAAAATGCTCTATATGATTTTGTCATGGTGGATGTATGCCACTATGCATTTGTCAAGGGACATAGAAAGTACAATACCAATAGTGAACTTACATAAACTATGGGCATAGGTTGCTTCTCTGTCAGATTGATTTATTGATTATAGCACTTATCACTCTGGCAGGGCTGTTTTTATTGGAGGAAAGCTGTATAAGATTCCTCTGTATTTTATACTGCACATTGTTATAAACCTAAAATAACTTTAAAATTATATCTGTAAAATTAGGTGACAATTTGGAG